CTATATCCTGTTCACAATCCGATGTCCACAGGTGCAGGTACATTTATCACCTTTCCCTATCAAATAGCATTGAAAGGTGATAAATTTTACCGGTACCAGTGGACATCGGATTGTGAACGGATAATATATATTGACTTCGAAAAAGTATTCGATCGAGTCAAACACACCAAACTTCTTCAATGTCTGAAATCATATAACTTTAGACTATTATGACATGCGCCTTTTGATAAACCTGTATCATACTCAAACAGCTGTAGTCGGGCTGGATGACAGAGTTACAGATGAAATACCAATAAAAAGCAGCGTAAGGCAAGGATGTGTTCTGTCACCCCTGTTGTTCAACCTCTATTCAGAGAACATATTTCGTGAGGCTTCACATGACAGGGCAGAGAGAGTAAAGATAGGAGGCGAAATAATAAACAACGTAAGATACGCAAATGACACTGCCGTCATTGCGGAAAACATGGAGGACTTGCATATACTGCTGGATAGAGTGCATGAGGCTAGCCAAAGATGGGGTATTATTATAAACATCAAGAAAACGAAATGGACGACCGTAGGTAAAATAAACATCGAACCAACTCCAATTACAATCGACGGACACAACATTGAACTAGTTCCACATTTCAAATACTTGGGCAGCTGGCTAAACAGTGAAGCTACGTGCGACGAAGAGGTAAAAGCGAGGATTGAAATGGCACGCAGGGCATTTAATAAATGAAAACCAACTCTCACCATTAGAAGCGTCACAGTCCAGACGTGGTTAAGAACACTCAGCTGTTACGTATGGAGCATTCTCTTGTACGGATGTGAGACATGGACACTTAAAGCTGACACCATGAACAAAATAGAAGCGTTTGAAATGTGGTGCTATATCAGAGAATCCTAAAAATCCCTTGGACCGCACATACCAGCAATGAAGAGGTACTAAGACAGCTGAATAAGGACTGAGTACTTCTGAACATCATAAAAATAAGAAAGGTTAGTTATTCCGGACATTTAATGCGAGACACCAAATCAGCAGAAGATGGATAGGTCGCAAAAAACTGTCATGGCTACGAAAAACATTAGAAATTGGACCGGACTGGTAGTGGAACAACTATTCCGAGTAGCGACAGATAGAGAGCAATTTAACCAGATTGCCATGGTGATAGGCTTGTCGATATTCTGATAAGAAATCAATAATAATAAGTTGAAAACTTTTGCCCTTCGGCTTGATAGGTAGGCATCTAGAGATAAATAATTTCCAAAGGTCTAGTCAGTGTTGAAGTAATCATGAATTCAGGTTTGGTTGGATTTCTAGCGTATTTGCTAGACTGACAGGTGTCGCAAACATTTATGATATTTTCGATATCTCGTTTGAGGTTAGGCCAGTAATATTTCCTTAGGATTTGCGCTTCAGTTTCGGTAATTCGTCGATAATTTGCTTTTCCTTGATTACTTCACTTTGTCTTTCTTTGCTATTGACGTCTGCTGGGAGAAAGTTTGATCAAGCCCAATGCAGAATTTTTGAGTTTCTTTTAGAATGTTGCATAGAGGAATCTTCATCCTTAAAGAATATTGTATTTTGGGGTATCTTTTTTCTTTAAGAAGCTTTTCAAAGCTTCCTTCTAATGATTGGAATGCCGAATATAGGTTCTTCCTGAGACAGTATGTCTATTTTCTTATCTTCTTCCGGGTCGGCTTGTTTAGGTTCTGTAATATCGGGGATTTCACTGATAACCTTTTGTATTTTCGCTTGCGAAGCATCAAACTCTTCAAGCTTTAAGCGCCATCTATCTATTTTGGAATTATTGTCTTTCATGGAAAAAAGTCATTGGAGGGGACGGTGATCTGAAAGTATTTTGAATTTTCTCCCACACAAATAGAGTCTGAAGTACTTGGTAGTCCAGATTATGGCAAATTTTTCCTTTCAATGGTGGAATGTTTCAACTCCGTTCGTTGAGTGTCCTAGAAGCGTATGCCATGGGCTTATCGCTGCTGATTGATCCCTGGGATAGTACAGCTCCAATTGCATAGTTGCTAGCATCAGTGATTAGATTGAAACACTTGCTAAATGAAGGTCTGGATATTGCAGAAGAAGTTGATTTGTCAGTAAATTTTTTGTCAAAATTCTGGTGTTAGTTTTATGTTAGCGTCCTTTTTGAGGTAGGAAGTTAGTGGTTTAGTGATTTTAGCGGAATTATTGATAAACTTTATGTAATATCCAAGGAGGCCTAGAAATCCTCGGATTTATTTCGTGCGTATCGGATAGTCAAGTACCTCTATGGCTTGAATTTCAGCCGGATTTGGTCTTATTCTTTCTGTTGTAACAAACTGTCCAAGAAAAGCAACTCCCTTTTTCAGGAACTCGCATTTGTACAATTGAATTTTAAATCCAGTTTCTCTGAGACGTTGGAAGATTTTTGAAAGATAAACCAGGTGCTCTTGAAATGATGTGCTGAACACAATGATATCGTCCATGTACACTAAGCAATTTTCTCCCTGAAGGCCTTCAAAACGTTATTCATTACCCTCTGGAACGTAGCTGGAGCGTTTTTTAGTCCAAACGGCATCCGGATATACTCGTAATGGCCATTTCCAACATTGAAAGCAGTTTTGCATATATTTTTCTCAGACATTTCAATTTGGTGGAAACCACTTGCCAGATCCAAGGTCGTGAAGTATTGGCATCTACCAAGTTTGTTTGAAAGTGTGTTATATTTGGAATTGGATATTTATCATCGATAGTTTTCCCGCTTACTTTCCCTACTTCATCTTTTGTTATAATATGGTGTCTGATCTGGTTTGTGAAGGTCGGCAACATGTCTAGATAATGGAAAATGTCTGTATACGTCCTACATACATTTTGTATTGCCTTTTCTTCCTCTGAATTTAGGTGATTAGTTCTGATTTCGGACGGAGATCCTGAGAAATTAGATCCGTGTTGTAGCTATGAAACTGAAGGTCCATCTGCGTGCTAGTGACTGGACTTGTCAGAGCTATCTGAAGTTCTTCATCGGTTGTGTTGACAATTTCAGTCCAAGCGAGTTGATAACAAACAGATTTGAGGTTTCGGTAATTTATGCGCCCTGGAGTTCTTGTTTTAGTAGAAGGATCGTACCCTGGGTTTCTTTTACACTTTTACTAGAAGCCGTACTCGGGAAACGGTGTTAGGCGCTAGTTGGATGGAATAGAATTGGGTTTAGATCTTTTCGTAGTATTCAATTGGGAGAATGGCGCTTTTTGTGATACGTAACGACTCTGGCCGGTCCAATTTGGTTTGGAGTAGCTTGAAGTTATCGAGTCCGATGAGGCTATCAAATGTTTGGTAGGACTTGAAAAGGTAAAAGTTTGGCTTCTCATTTGAGATGAATTCTGGAAACATGGGAATGTGAGCACAAGAATAGTCCTGAGTGTGATTTTGGAAAATTCAGGTAAAGATGAATGGCTCACTGTGAATGCAATCTTTGAAATATTTAAAGGCTTTATCTGGATTGATAAATGATTTCGTTGCGACGGTATCTATGAGGAGCCCTAAAGGTGGATTGGCGATGGATACTATTATGGTTCTGTTTCTGGATCGGTCGCTTCTGCAAAATTTCCTCCAGTGTATTAATGTTGCTCGTATGCTTGCTGCTGGTAGTCATTTTGTTGTGGTTCTACATCATAAAAATCGTCTATTTTTAGATTGGTGTAACCATAGTGATAGTTATCCAGGGCTGGGACTCTGTAACGAATAGAGATATTTACTCTATCTCTATTGGCGTCTCCTCTCTATTGATTGCGATAATAGAGAAGAAGACAGCAACTGCCATAGCGATAGGGATAACGATCTCTATCCGTTACAGAGTTCCAGCCCTGGGTGTCTTCGTGTTCCTCGATATTAGATAATTCTTCTACATGGAAATTTGGAGCAGATTGTTGTGAAGGTTGAAGGTTTTATGATGGCTCTTGATCGAGCAAGTTTGATACAAAGGCTACTTAGGTCAAGGTAAGCCACTGCATAAGATAAAAGTAATGGTAATTTTGGAGGAATAAAAGAAAATGAGAAATTCTCCACACAGGAGTGTCATGAATCTGCGAAGTTGTATCTTCCAAAACTTCTGACTTGCCTGAAAGATTCTGCCTCCTATACCGAAGTCTTTAGGCTGTCTCCTTCGATCGACAAATTTGTCAACAAAATAGGTAGATAGTCATTGGCAGAGATCTTCGATTAGCTTGGCTTATGGCCTACTCTTATAGGAGTAATCAGTGTACTGATCCACCTCCTGGTAAAGCAGAAAACCAAAAAACCTTTATCTAGGTTTATATCTCCCACTTTCTTCTAGTCTGAGTGGAGTGTATGCACCTGCCATCTCTTCCGAATAGGGAACTTTGATGGAATAAGAATTATTAGATTATATCAAATAAATGAAAGGTACAGATGTGAATGAGGACATTTTTGCCATATTTTTCCAATCTATTCAAAAATACATTCTTTATGAATTTTTAAAAATTATGTTCTTTGTTTTACCCGCATTGGCTTATGGATATACTACGGAATGACGTCACATAGTATTAGTGTTTTTACGTCTGTAACTTTGGTAATTTTGAAGATATTTAAATTTTGTTTGCACAGATCAGTTTCAAAAGTTTTGAGGAGTCAGTTCAAAAACTAAAACAAGAATGGTCAAGTTGCCCATTCGTTGCATATAGCTGCCTCTTTCTATTTATGTATGACAGAGAGATCAGCTACTGTATAATTTAGCTGAGCAGGCACTTTACGTGCAGTACAGTCGTCTTCATTTCAGGTACGAGTATAGAATTTCTAGATCTCGTTCTACTGTGAAGCCACAGCGCATTTATCGAGAATCGGTAATAGTTCTAATTATGCAGATTTGAATGGCTCATATTCTAATAAACGGCATCAAAAAGATTGTGCGGTTTATTCAATGATATATTAGCTTTCGTTTGTATTTCATTTTTATACCACTTTTTTAAGTATATAGGTACCGATATATTTCCAATTTTTGTTCCAGATCACCACTTTGGAGTGCACTTACCCACGCTCATAATACGTTTTCAATCGACGTGAATAGCTGACAAGAGCAACCGGATCAGTACACTCCTGATCCGGTTATACCTCAAATGATACCGCTTCCCTTCATTAAAGGGCACTAACTTCTTCTACCATAGTGACACTTCCAATTAATATGTAGTGTAACTTTTTGTATTAAAAAATTATCGTAATTTCGCTAAAACTACCTCTAATGAAAAAAAACCTACTTTGTAAATAATCATCATATTATTATTAAGAAATGTATATTAGGTATATACATATAGGATTTCTTTGTGTTCTTTATTCCTAACTTCACTAAAATAATTGTTCCAAAATAATGAGTAAATTTCATAATTATTTGCCTTTTCGCACTGAAAACAAAGAAATCTATGTTAAGTTTTGGAATACTTTATTAGAATGGTGCTTTTCCTACCTTTTTGTCATTAATCTATTATCTAAAATAAGTAAGAAAATTTGGCAAACACGCCTGTTTAACGTTATAGATATTAATTGTTGTGTGTACCAAATAATTTTTTTAAATAAAACCTAAAATAAAACGGTGTTTTTCTTTGATGAGACCTCTTCCAGAGAGTATTTATTTATTTATTCTATTAAAATTTCTTGACTAGAAATAGCATAAACTTTCTAATCAATTCAAGATTGAAACTTGAAATCTCTAGAGTGAGATACTTTTCGGGCAAGAAGATTTGCAAACTTTCTTCAACTCGGATTTGGCGCGGAGTTTAGGCGCTGTTGTCGAAAATAGGCTTGGAAGGAAAGAATGCGAAGAGGAACGTAATAAAAGTTTCAATAACTTTGACGAAAATCACGTTGTTTTTTAGGCATGAAATTTTCAGCTGGAAAGCGAAGTTAAGCATCATGATTGGCAGCAGCTCAGAAATTTTATCATTGTGTGAAAAAAAATCAAATACGTAAATGGATAAAGATAAAGTTTAATAAAATTCAGGATTTATGTTAAAATGAATCACTCAAAAACTCTATTGAAAATTGATATTTTCTTGGCTTCTATATGAACATTATTTAAATCTTAAATTCAATTTTCACTGAAATTTTAAGTGAACATTCATATTTTTTTTTTTGTTCGCTTATATTACAATAGTTAAAATGAAAATACTTTAGGTAACTACATGAATTGCATCTGAAGAGCTTATAGGTGGTTCTCTGAATAAATAATATGTTACTTTTGTTTCTAAAAATAATTATAAGTTTTATGGTTGAAAAAAAAGAGCTAATTTCAAACAAACAATTATGTAGGTACCAATGTAAGTACCAAATCAACACTTCAAATGCCGTGACGTACCATTTTGCGGACTCTTCTATTCTAACTTTAGCTCCGTAAGAACTGGAACAATAATTTGATTCCTTGTTTGGTTCATACGACTTGGCCGATACTTCGTAGAACAATAAATAGTCTTCATTTAAACGTGCTATAGTTCGTTTCTTCTCAATAATATTGGCAAAACTAATCGCTGGCAAACACTGTACTTACGTCTGTCGCTTATGATTTTAATTGAAGTGTAGGACTGTGTGACGATGAGGAAGTTATTGAGTAAAAATATATGTATTCTGTGGATTATTTCACTCATGTGTTAGAAATTCCATAAGACAAGTGACTATTTTTAGAATTACAGCGAAAATTCTCTTTTCCATTTGTTTAACTAGAGAGAATTACAGCGATAATTCTCCCATGTTATTGTATACATGGTTGTCATGCTAATTTTTGATACAAACAAACGGTTCCTGATAGCAACCATTTATTTGTGTTTAAGATGTTCAAATCGTTTAATACATATTTATTTCCATATTTTTTGCATTCTGATACGTGAAATAATCCTCTAAATACCACTTCAGCTTTAAAATGAACCAGATAATTTTTCACTCATGCGTGTTTTCTCGGCCTATACGGACTCGTGAAATTAAAGAAAACAGGCAATCGTGAAAAATTATCGGTAATTTTGAAGCTCTCGTGGTATTATCCCCGAAAATTCATTCAATTAATATTAGTGCAAAGCGCTTCCGACCGTAGCCATTTTTAGTGCAACCTGAAAGTATGGAAAATTACTTTCTCAAGTGTCAACATGACTTAAATATGAAAGTGAAAGTGGACTCTTTTAAGAGTTCAGCTGAACTAATCAACTATCTATAATAGAAAAAAGTTAGGGCCTTTCAAAGTTTTCCAAAATCTAAATCATAAGGTGGGCCAATGGAAACTTTCCACCCCGATTTTTTAGATTTGAAATGAAAATTTAGAAAAACGTTGGGACACGTCGATTTTTGATTTAAAGGGGAACTATTTTTTAGTTTTTTTCATCCCCGTTGCTTCAACCCACTAGCTGGGGGGAAAACAACCCCCCAAATTCGGATAGGGGTCGTGTTATACTTCTCTCTAAAGGTCTCATCCAATGACCTATTAACACAGATAGACAGAATATCCCATTGATAAAATAGTTTTATTTTGGTTGACTACATGTTTATGGGCAAGCGGGGGTGAGCTGTGAAAGCGGCTAGGACTATGGTATCAAATGCTTCCGCTAATTCCGCCCCTACTTTACTATCGCATACTTGGCAACTCTGAAAATGAAACCAGAATCAGTGCTACAAAAGTGTATCCTTATCCTTATAGTGCGAACTGATTGACAAATGGAAATGGCAATAAAATACAGGAAGGTCGCATTTTGACATGACAATCGAATAGTAGCCGCTGATTGGTGGAAAGGTGGAATTCGAGGTGGAATTTATTTTTTCGCAGCGTTGCTAATTTTCATTGGAAAGTAATTACTTTCCACGTGATAGAAGAAGATAAAAAATAACACAAGGATTAATAATTAGTGGGGAGAGATGCGGTTCCTAGGATGTAGTCAACCTATATTACTGTCTATCTGTAATAATAGGGCATGTCTATGTGACGTCACAAATGAGTTTTGACAGTCGCCCTGAGGTAAAACAAATCATTTATTTACATGCGTGTAGATTAGGCCGGTTATGTTTTATGCGGTTTTCACAGCTTTTTTTACAAGTTTTTTTGTTTTTTTGTTTTAAAAAAGTTAAACTAAAGTGTTTATGTTCCAGTCTATGTGGTCTTTTATCCAGAAGTTTGCTAGGTTTTTCTATAATGGATTAAATTGAGTTCTTTTCCAACAAATATCTAAACCAAGTGTCACAAGAACAAATATATAAGTATATACTCTATATTCAATCCATTTTTCTACCTGATCTTCTCTTTTAACAACGTTAATCAATTTTTCTCTTGTTTCTTGAGCTAACAACTCAAACTTCCCATTGTTATTTAAAATTGATGGAAACTTATGGAAGGGTATTGTATCCCTTGCGCTATACTGCCACAATTAACAACTAAACAATCTCTAGGATGTCCAAGAAACTTCTGGATCACACAAAAGGTATTTATTTAAAAAAATCTAACTAAACACTTAAAAAACCCTGTAAATTATATCTTTGTTTTACCTCAAGGCGACTGTCAATAGTGTCAAACTGTGTTTCGATAAATTTATCATTTACGTAACATGTTCCATCTCTTCTTATTTTCATTATAAAGTCGTATTTTTTCCATTTTAGAATCAGCCAAATAATATCCACAAAATTCAAATTCAAATTCAAATAATACAAGTGCTGCTATCTATCCACATTTGCGTAAAATGCAAGTATCGAGAATTGATTTTTCAGTACTGCCATCTAGTGCCCGATGATCTATATTTCAAAGTATGATTTTTAAAATTCGCATTTGACATTTATTTATATTTTCATTGAAAGAAATTATATTCATCTCACTTTTAGCAAATGGATATATTTCTGTCCTTTTCTAACTTCTGATTCTGAAATAATCATTATTGGCTTAATGATCTAATTAATTGACCTTTTGTTTGGACGCCATATTGCGGTGCGCGAACATAGTTGCCAACAGTAGAAAAAAAAATTACTAGCGTTCTGTCAACTTTAAAATCCAAAGTTAGTGAATAAATTACATTTAAAATTTAAATTTGCCGCCTATTACGAATGTTTTTGGAAAGAAAAGCCATCAATTTTAGCTTTAATTGAGCAGAATAGAAATAATAAAATATCTAGTTGACAGCCTGCTAATAATTTTTGGTTTTCTTGTTTTGGCAACTATGTTCGCGCACCGCAATATGGCATTGAAATAAAAGGTCAATTAACAGTCTTTTATTTTTGACATAACCCTAATTTAAATTATTATAATTTGTAAACAATTAAAATAGTTTTAGTGGATTTTTATCCATTCTATTTTATTCCATGCGGTCTTTCATTGTTTTTTCATTTTGAAGTGAATATGGTCTTTTGGGTGTAGTCGTCTGATTGGTTAAAAGTGGTTGGAATGCAGTAAGTATAAAAAAAACACAGGATCGTTTTCCTGCTAGCTTGGTTTTCTAAAACGATCTCTTCTTGAAGAACACTCTGGCCAGGCAAGTCCTCTATTTTTAAAATAATTTTGTGCTTTGAATTTCTGGATCCTCCCCTATAGATTTTTCAATATTCAAATTATCGTATCTTTATTAAGTTTTTACCTGATAAATCTTATCTTATCTGTTTTTGAAATATAAATATTATATTTTAAGTTTTTTTTATCTAATTGTTGGCTTCCATTTTTGTGTGAATTGCTTATTGGAGTTCCACGTTTTGTTATAAGAGGTAAGTCCACACACATCTTTGGATTTTAGATAGGTACTGCTGCTCTGGCTTTCAGAATCAATTTTTAGTGTGGGAAAATTGGACCATTTGCTCTAAATAGAGTCGGTGAGAACCAAATTTGTGAGTCCATCCCCATTAATTCTTTATTGAATCCAGGCAGAGGCCTGAACAACCATTTTCTGTTTGACTCCCTAATTATTATTATCTTAACTAAAAGAGTGTATTTTTTTAATAGAAATCCAGACAGGTAAAAAAAAAATTCAGTTAAAAAGTTTTAATTAAAACATTTCAAGAATTTTGACACATTCTGGATTTGATTAATTTCAACCCCAGGTTTATCTAGTATCTGTGGTAGCTACCTTAATTCGAGGGGAGAATTTTGTCTACTTGGGGAGGAATCCAGAGATTTAATTTCTTATTTTTTTTTACTTACCTTATTTTTGCTCATATTTTTGCTCGTATTTTTGCCTGCCAGAACTGTTTTTCAAGGAAGCAGCATTTTGCTCAATTATAACGAGCATTATAATCATTATAATTACATCTTGTTATTATTTAATTTTACTACTATCATTATCTTATCTTATTCTTAATTATTCATTTTTTTTTTTTATATTAAAATATCAATTTTTCTACTTGCAATAGTTTTTATACCTGATTCTGTTGAAAGGAGTGTCTGTATAACAATCGTTTTGTACTAAATTTCAATTTCAATTTCCTGTGCAAGACACTCACTTTTTGACAGAATTCAGGAATTTAATGTTCCAAATATTGGTGAACCTGATACTGCCTTATTCTTTTCTGGGTACCTATTCTACATAAAGATCACTGTTTGGAGTCTGGATCAGCTGGAGTGACGTCACCCCAGCAATCTA